CCCTTGTATCTCCTTTATTGGGGCCTTTTCTCTCCTCTCTCTCTGGATTGCTGGATTTATTGAAAGTGCTTGTCTTTTTGTCTAAATTTCATTTCCTTTCCTTTCCTTTCCTTTCCTTTCCTTTCCTTTCCTTTCCTTTTCTCTCTTTTCTCTTTTCTTCTTCCTCTTCCTCCTTCTCTTTTTTTGTAAGGCAGGGTTTCACTACATAGCTCTGACTGCTCTAGAACTCTCTCTGTAGACCAAACTGGCCTTGAACTCAGAGATCTACCTGCTTCTGCTTCCCAAGTGCAGGGATTAAAGGTGTGTGCCCCCACTGCCTGACATCTAGTAATTGCTTTCTTTTCAAACTTCCTTTTAGTGGCTGTTTTAGAGCAGCTTCAGATTAAAACATAACCCTGGAGCATTCCCATGTAATCTCCTCTCCCCGCCCCCAGCCACACTTCTCCTGTTCTGAAGAACGCTTGCATTAAGGTAACACGTTTGTGACTGACAGGGCAATGGCAATGAGTCATGACCAACTGAAACTCAGTTTAATTAATGTTGTAAACTATGGGTTTGGCAGATGCCTAACAACATGTGCTATCCATTAGTCCTTAGTAGACATCCGCGTGCCACCTGTTCATCCACTTCGCCTTCCATGGAACCTGGTCCCCATGGTTTTGTCTTTGCCCGAATGCCACATGGTTGGCAAGGTGGCCTTTCCAGCCTGGCTTTGCTCATGCTGCTACTATCCTGCGGTGGCTCTGCTCTGACCACTCTGCACTGTCTTATTGGACCCTGCCCAGTGTTGTCACTCCGTGCTGCTGTTTGCCCTGTGTCTGAAAATGAGCCTGGGGCATGTTTCTACAGTGGCTCACTGAAGAAGGCTGTTGCCCTGCTGTGTCTGGCAGGACCCCTCAGTGTTAGACACTGTCCTGTGATCAGCAAGCTGGGGGCAGGGAGGTTGGGAATGTACTTGGGGTAGTGCTGTGGTAGAATCCATAAGATGCACTTGCTCACCATGTGCCCTTGTGAGGGGTCATGCTGCCTCTTCATAGGTGAGAAGCAGGGGGAAGTTGAGCTAGCAGATGGAAAACAAGGAGTTAGGCAAGGCGCCATGTGTTTTCAGCGGCTGGTCTGTGCTGACTGCACTCTGAGAGACTTGCCACAAGCCTGTCCTTGTCCTCGTCCTTCCCGCCTCTTCTCAGAGGCTGTAATGGAGACATTCAGGGTATCGCTTTAACCAGTGCTTCTAAGCTTGGAGGGACAGCTAATGTGATGGATGACAGAATCACGATTCAGAATGAGTTCAGCTGCCTAGAATACCAGCCCAGAACCAATCAAGTGAGCACACTAATAGGAATAAATGTAAAATCCTGCATTCAAGTTCAAAAACCCAGTCAGACCAGGTCAGTGGGAAGCAGTTGGGACAGTTTGGGTTGACTGCGTCCTCGGTGGGAAGCTCTGTCATCATTTTGTCTCCATTATGGCTCTTGTCTTGTAGTTGATAGCCCTCATCCTCTGTGGTCCCACTCTGTTATTTCTACACGGCCCAATCAGGATGTTTCCACAATTCGAGTCTTGTAGCCATGACAGTGGACAGCTACCCTTTCCCCTGGCTGACATCACTGGGCAGCTGTGCTTCTCTCTCACCTCCTGCCTGTAACTCCTTCAGAACGGCCTCCTCCCAGCTCTTGCCTTGCCCCACACTTCCTTTTTTCTGAGTATGCCACACTCCCTAGGGACTCTGGGGCCCCTCTGTGCCCTGCTCCCACTGATAGCTTGACTTAGAACCTTGTCTCATGCCGCCTAGGTCTCACATCCTCGCAGTGGTGCTCCCAGCCAGGCCTTAGACTATACCCTAGGGCCAGCACCCACTGTGTTCTTCCCTTTCGTGCTGTGTCATGTCTACGTGGTTTGTTCCTAGATTGGCACAGCAGGTAATTTCTAAGTGTGGCATTTCCCATATCAGCTCCTTGTGTGTGTGTGTGTGTGTGTGTGTGTGTGTGTGTGTCTGTGTGTCTGTGTGTGTGTGTGACTGTTGAGTGATAATTAATTTAACAGAGTGCCCCTAAAAGGGAGCCCTGGCCTGGTCGGTCTTTGTTAGTGTAGGCTGGCAGTTAGCAGGACACACATCAGCCTGTCCCTTCTCGGTGTCATCTCTTACCAGCACAGCTCTGCAGCCCTCAGCTCTAGTGGCTGCCATCTTGGAGTACTCTGTGTAGACTTTAGAACTGCCACCAGAGCTCTATGGAGTCTGGACTTGACAGATTTCAAGCCATAGACCCAGTGTAGACATAGACATAGGGCTGTCCCCAGCTGGACTTCCCTGACCTCCATTAAGATGGGCTTTTCTCTCCCATCCAGTGTTGGACCTGTCAGAATGCTGCTGTTTTTGTTTCCTGCCTTTGGCCGGAATGCCAAGGCCTTCTCTTCAGCCTTGAAGGTCCTTTCAAAGTAGGACCCACTCCCTCATCCCCTTTTTTACTTTTATAGAATGGTATCATTCTTGCCTCAATGTTTAGACTCTGAAAAAATCAGATTCCCTTACTGAGCTTTGAACAAACTGAGAAATAAAATAAAACAGTGGCAGATGGAAGCAAAGGAGAACTGTCATTCTTGCTGCACAGTGGGCTTGAAATGTTTTCTAGTGTAGAAGCCAAATAACTGGCTAAATCCACACTGTCTCCAGCCAGTGTTGATAGGCCGGGGCCGGGCAAGAAGTAGAGCCCACAGGGCCTTTGTCCTCCCATAGAGCAGCAATTAGTCTCCTGGATGGGGGTGGAGTTCTCACCATGGAAAGCATACCTCAGGAGGGTGGAGGTTAGGAGATTCACTTCTAATTTCTTCAGCTGTAATTGGGGTAGCCAGTACAGCCCTAGTCAGCCGTGCAGGGAGGCTTGTCAGCCTCAGTGAAGTTTGTCAGACTAGAACATAGTAAGTGGTTAGTAAGGCCTTCCTGACCCAGAGGTTATAAACCACCCTTAGCTCGTCTCGAATCTCTGTCTGGTTGGGACTGTTTATAAATTCCTCCATGCAAACGTGCACCTACTGACTGGAGCAGTAACCTTCTGCTAACCTCCTAGGAGAAATCAATTCTCTCAAGTTATAGTTGGCAAGCTCAGGTCCAAAGACGATGACTGTCTGAAGAGCTGTAGGCTAGAACCAAATTTTCTATGGCTTTTAAGGTCAGATGTGTTCGAACTCAGTTAGTCCTGCTTCTGGCTTCTGCTCCATCTCAGCTAGTAGGATGCTTGGTCCTCTGGGATGAGTACAGCTCCTCGGAGCCTGAAGTTCTGAGCATGAGACTGAGCCCAGTAGTTGTTCCTTCTGAAAGCTGACTTCTCTGAGAGTGTATAAGCCTGTCAGAGATCTGGCCTTCCAAATCTGGGTAGGAGGCCATCCCAGGGGCTCTGGGCAGTTCCCACCATGTTCTTAGATCCTGTCTTTTTTGCTGCCCTAGGTCTCTGGAAGGCCTGGCCTGGCCTGGCCTGGCCCTTGTAGGCATGGCTCTTCTTGGCCTAACCCTTGCATATGAGTAAGCAGCAAGTCTAGAGGCCCTCACTGCAGTTTTGTCTGGGAGAGATGTCCCAGCATACTTTGCTCTTCCTGCTGCAGATAGACACCTATATAGCGTGTAGGCTTTGTTAGTACTGAGGCACAGTGGCACCTTGGCGTTGAGGACTTCTGCTAGCCAGCATTTGTCCTTAATCCTTTTCTGTCTTCCTGGAAGGTTCCTCCTTCAGGATCAGGTGCTGAGGTTCCCTGAGTGCTGTTGGCATGTTCTGAAGGGGATCAAGGGCTGATGCTTCTGACTCTGCTCTGTTGCCTGCTGACTGCGGACACTTGCTGCCCTTGTGTGCAGGTCGCCTGGTGCTCCACCATCTGTGAAGCTGCAGATCCTGCTCCCTGTGGGCTGAGAGGGAGTGGGCATTCCCTGCCCTTTCACCACTGCTCCATGCTACTTCTGAGTGCTCTCTTAGGTTTGAGGGCGGCCATTTGCCCTGCCCATGTTTCATCTGAAAGTCTTTCCCTCCACTGCTGGCTTCTGTTCTGAGGCTCAGAACAGTCCAAGAGGCTGGGTGCTGATTCTTATCCCACAGATGACAAAACTCATACCCAGAGAGACCATATACTGTAGATGTCATGCAGCTCCTAAGTATAGCTATAATTCCATTCCAGGTCCCTCTCACAAAAGCTTCCTCCCCAAATCTGCTGTTCCACCCCTGCCTCCAGTCTGCATGACCCTCAGTCACTGAGAACAGTCACATGCCACCTCTCATGCTGTGACTGCATTCTTAGCACCTGAGTGCTGCACTGTCAGCACATTTGCCGTTCCTCACTGGCTTCCTGGTGGGCCGGGTGCTGACTGTCCAGGTGCCCAGCGAGGTGGTCATTCCAGCCGGTGGTTCTGCTCAATGAGCCAGACACATGGGTGCTGGTTTGTTCAATTTAAATGTAAATATCCAACATTAACAAATAGAAATGTTCCCTGAAGCGTTCCTGGGAGCTGAGAGTGGGACCTGTCGGTGCTGTGCTCCGTTGATGCTATGCACAGTGTGGCCCTGTACTTGTTTCTTGTGAGGCAGCCTAGCAGTGTGTGATTGCTTTGTTTATAAAATGGTTTTGCATTATAAACTTTTTCACTACTTTTTTCTCTTGGAGTGTCTGGGTTCCTGGAAGGGGTGGCGCTCATGTGTGGTATGTCTTTATGTGTGGTCACCCATGTGTATGTTTACAGTGGTACCTGTGGGCCTGGAGTTGATGTCACTTGCCTTCCTCAGTCGCACTCCACTTTATTTGGAGGTACGGTCTCTTGGTTGAGCCCAGAGCTCACCAGTTGTGGCTAGTCTAGCTAGCTAGCTTGATCTGGATGTCCTGTCTCCCTCTCCCTAGTGCTGGGATTACAGGTGGTCTCCACAGCTGCTTGACTTTTATGTGGGTTCTGGGTACCTGAATTTAAGGTCTCAAAGTTGCTTTATTTTATGTGCATTTAATATATGTTATTTTTTCCTCCTTAGGACAACTACACCTTTGCCCAACCTGGGATTCAGATGAAGGTAAAGATGCTGGAAGAGCTTGTGAGCCGGATTGATGGTAAGTCAGGGTCCAGCACAGCCCTCCCTGACGCCCTGCCAGACACCACCATCCTGCTCTCAGCTGGCCGGTGCTACCTCGGTCGGCTAGCCCTCAGCTAAGTGGATCCTTAGCAGGAGAAGGTGCTGTTCTGCCCATCCATTCTGTGCTCCAGTCAGGACTCAGTGGGAAAGGAGAAGCAGTGCTCTTGGCAGCCAGCCTCCCTCCTGGGTCAGCTGCAGCTTCTCATCTGGGCGGCAGGGTGGTTGCTGATGGCTGTCCTTTGCCTTGCCTCCCCTGCCTGGGTGTATCATTTGCTATCAAGGAGGATGGAATAATTTCTCCATGGAATCCAATTAATTACCAAGTCCAGAAAGAACATCTTCAATATTATAGAAAAATTATAGTGTGTGCTCGGGCAATTTTAGATTATGCTTTCATGTTTAAGTGAGGCCTTTGAAATACTTTTTACCTTAGTCCTTAAAATAATTCCCCCTGCGATGTGCTGAATGTCATATTGCAATAGCAGAGTTTAATTAAATGAAACTTGCGAGATAATGCTTGCCCATTCCAGGCAGAGCCTCCTGATAGTTTGTTAAATTAATGAGCAGAGCATTAACAAAGTGACGCCAAGCAGAACCAGACCTGTGTATATATGTGACAGCAGCCTGTCAGCTGTGAGCTGTAGAAGATACTCTCTGGTTCCCAGAGTCCCGACTGAGTCGGACAAATCACCTGACTGAGGGTGCAGAGAACTCTGTTGAGATGTAGTCCTGGCTGCGTGCCTTCTGTGTGTGCAGGCTCCTTCCCAGCCCTCCCCTGGCTGCTCCCATGGCAGGAGAAAATTGTCATAGCCCTCTTCATAGGAAGACACTTGGTTTGGGAAATGACTGAGTGACATTATAAACCAGAGCCAAAAACCTCGAAACTGTACTGCGTTCCTTGATTGAGTCTGGGAGTCAGCTCTGTATCTGATGGTTATTACCTCATTTCCATATTATGAAGTCCCACGCACTTCCAGGGATGCTTTATTGGATTCAGTGTGTTTAGCTGCTTTTCAACCTCCCTCTGAAGTGCTGCTCTTTCTCCCGTCAGTGCACCCTGTGCGTGTATTCCGCGCTCACGGTGCGCTCTTGCTTGGCTCCGGTTGAAGTTTTTTCCTACTAGCGATTTCACAAGTGTCCATGGCCTCATTTAGTTCTTTGAAATACTATTTGCAGGAGCTGTGCGTTACACAGATGTAGCAGGTTCTTCTTTCCATCCTGTGTCCCTTAGAAGGCCTATTTTATATTTTCTATGAGCCTTAAGTTGTGGCCAGAGCTGGCTTGCTCCAGCGCTGCAGTTGGGGAAATGCTTGAATTGATTTCTTCTTGTGCTGTGGTTCAGAAGGAGGCACACTGCAGATTTACACTGTGATTGTTCTGAAGAGCAGCAGCGACTACTGCAGAGCTGCCTGTGTCTGTGCTCTGGGTAAAGCCTCTTTATCTCTATGCAAGGATCAGCTCTTCACAGCACAGGATGGACTCCAGTGTCCCAGGGCAGGCTGTGCAACTAGCTTGCTCGTGTTCTCGTCACAAAAGCTCTGAAAATCAGTGTAGCTGCCTCATCGTGAGGATGCTGGACTATGCAAGCAGGAAATGCCTAGTCCTTGGGGCCTCCAGCCCTGGCTGGCAGCCTTCTCCTTCCTCTGCCCCCACCAGTATTTGGAGAAGCTTCAGGGCTGCAGCTCCGGTGGCTTCACCTCTAGTGCACTCACTGTGAACCTTTCATCAATGTCAGGATATACTGTATAGGAGACAAACCCTAACCTGTTGCCCGATTTCTGCAGTTCTAGGGAATAGAAGGACTGCATTTGTTTCAGAAAGCATTAACTTGGGAGGGGAATTAGGTTGTGGCCCTGCTGATGAGGGGTTTTATGTTCCAAGTGGGCAGTGTAAAAAAGGGCAATTGTAGAGCAGAGAAGGGAGCTTAGGGTTGGGCACAGAGGTCAGAAGAGAGGCAGAATCTGAGAGGGGAGAGGCCCTGAAGGGGGGTGACTATCGAAGGTGGGTGCCATCCCTTTTTCCTTGTTGGAAGGAATAGTTAAAGAATTTTCCAGAGACACTTTTAAGAAATTTCTCATGTTGCGTAATGCCTCCCGAGCACGACTGAACCTCTTAACAAAGGGGCCATGTGGACATGAAGGTGCATAGGTGAAGGAAGGTCATGTCTTCTTTGGAGGCAGAGGAGGAAGAAGGCAGAAGCCTTTGAAATGCCACTGTCTGGGGAAGCAAAGACTGTCTCTGGAGTGGGCAGATGGCCGATGAGACATTGTGGAAACCTGTTGGCACCTTGAGCAGGTAGAGAGCGAGGGCTTTCACTGTAGCAGGTTCCTACTGAAGACAACTCACCAGGCACATAGGATGCTTCCAGAGCTGCCAGAGACAGAGAAAGGAACAAAAGAAAGAAAAGAAAACCAGTGTCTTTTGAGAGACGGGATACTGTACTGCCAGAGATCCAAGGGTTATTGGACCTTTGTATCAGGCCCTGGTGAGATCAGCCAGCACCAAAGACACTGCCCTCTGGTGGACATGCCCACTTCCAGAACAAGTGGTCCCAGGGTGTTACACGCTGGCAACCTTGTGAGGTGTGTGATTGTGTGTTGGAGGGCAGGGAGGGTCACAGAGCCCTCACATCACCCAGCACAGCTTCTGGTAATGTTGGCACCTGTGTATTTGGAGATTCTGTTCTGGTGTTCTTTCTTCACAAGACTTATGACCTAGAAAACAATATCTTTTGTAGAGGAAAACTTCAAAACATATATTCTCACTATATTCTATTTTCAACTGAAGTGTCCTGTACACAGTCAGAGCGGATCCATGGACAAGGCTTCTGTAGCTGAAGTAAGGAGATAAAAGCCAAGTCCATTAAGTGGGAGAGCTTTGCTGATCTGTAACACACACACACACACACACACACACACACACACACACACACACACAGAGCAAAACCATTATCCTTACTGTGAAAGAAGGAGAAAAAGAATGGTGACTATATCTTCAGAGAATAGAAGACTACTCAGTTTTGCAGAAGAAATTTGAAGAATGATCAGCCATGCAAACGTGCTGACTTGGGTTTGATCCCAAGTGGAAGGAGAGAGCAAGGTCCATGGATGTGCTCTTTGACTCCTACAAACATCGCATTCTCTCTCTCTCTCTCTCTCTCTCTCTCTCTCTCTCTCTCTCTCTCT